TAAGTCATATTTTGAATGAGAATGCTGCAACCTGAGGTAGTGTCCCAGGCAGAGCTGACAGCCAGCAGCCATTTCCTTCCTCTCGGCCAGGAGAGAAAAAAGCCGCTTGCCACTGTCAGTTTAAAAGCCAGGCCTCTGCACTGCCCTGCTATGTGCCAGAGGGGAAGGCCTGCCCCGCCCCTTGAGGCATTTCCTTCCACCATGATGTCAGGACCATGTGCATACCCTGGGCCACTCCCCCAGCCACTGCCCACACAAGGACCCGTGGCCAGCAGGTGAATGCCCCTGGGGAGCCTTTTTACACTGCTGCCTGGGACAGGGGAATGCCGCAGAGGCCTGTCAGAACCATGCACCAGGCCACGGCACTCCCATGCAGGCTCTGGTTGCACACAGACTTAGGCTATACCTCACCCCTTACCCTGCTGTTTTCCTCCACCCAACTGCAGCTTGCTGCGCATGCTCAGGCCCACCCCCAGGGCTGGGCTGTTCCCAGCCAGCAAGGAGTGAAAGGCCCAGGGGAAGTGCTCCCCTTCTCCACCCTGCCGGCTGGCACCTGGTTCTACAGCATTTGCCTGTCCCATCTCTCACAGGTTTTTGCCCAGAGAAATAGCCAAGAGGGAGAGGGAAAGAGAGACAGAGAGAGAAAGCCAAGAGAGGGAAAGGGAGAGAGCTTGGAGGAAAAAAAAATCTGTTCTTTTAATTCCTGCTGGCCCTCGCCACTTAAGACAGGCTGGGCCATGCTCCTGCAACTCAGTGCTGCCACTCCGGTTCCCCACAGCCCTGCCTGGCTGCGGCTGCTTCAACTGTTCTTAAAGAGACAGGACAGAATGGGGCTGGATTTACTTACAGTTAGAAGTCTTCTCCTCCTGGCTGGCTCACCATTAATTGCTGGGGTTCAGGGGTGCCCTCAGCTCCCCTGAGAGGATGTTTCCCCAAGGTTCTTGGTCTCCTGTTCTCTCAAGAATGAGACAGGGGACCAGGTGCACTAGAGAAATAAATACCAGACCCCAAACAGAATTTTTGCGGAAATGTGATTTTATTTAGGTAGTGAAAGAGAAAAGGAGAAGAAGAGAGAGAACTTCCACACAGTGAGAGAGAGTGTGTGTAGAAGGGGATCCAAATATGGAGTCCAAGGGGATGTGGAAGAAGGGGACTTTTAACCTGAGAGCAACCCCCACTTTCTCCAAGACCCCTGGCCAATGAAAGGAGTTCCTTAGAACTTCCACTGGAGTGATTGACTTTTGATTCTTTCCATGCCCGTGAAAATTAAAACAGAGACTGTTAAATCTCCCAGAGGGAGAGAGATGGGAGGAGGGCATGGTGCTGGGAAGTTCTTGTCCTTAAAACTACACCCCCTTGTGGACCTGGTAAGAGAGTACATTCCCTCAATTTGTGCTGTGTTCCCACCCAAATCTCACCTTGAACTGTAATAATCTCCATGTGTTGTGGAAGGGACTTTGGGGGAGATAATTGAATCATGGGAATGGGTTTTCCTTGTGCTGTTCTTGTGATGGTGAATAAGTCTCATGAGATCTGATGGTTTTATAAAGGGCAGTTCCCCTGCACATGCTGTCTCTCTTGTCTGCCACCATGTAAGATGTGCCTTTGCTTCTCCTTTGCCTTTCTTCATGATTGCGAGGCCTCCCCAGCCACACTGAACTTTGAGTCAATTAAACCTCTTTCTTTTATAAATTACCCAGTCTCTGGTAGTATCTTTGCAGCAATGTGATAACTGACTAATATAGTAAATTGGTACCAGTAGCATGGGGAGCTGCTGTAAAGATACCCAAAAATGTGGAAATGACTTTGGAACTGGGTAACAGGCAGAGGTTGGAACAGTTTGGAGGGCTCAGAAGAAGACAGGAAGATGTAGGAAAGTTTGGAACTTCCTAGAGACTTGCTGAATCGCTTCTCCCAAAATGCTGATAGTTATATGGGCAATAAAGTCCATGAGGTGGTCTCAGATGGAGATCAGGAACTTGTTGGGAACTACAGCAAAGGTGATTGTTGCTATGTTTAGCAGAGACTGGAGGCATTTTGCCCCTGCTCTAGAAATCTGTGGAACTTTGAACTTGGGAGAGATGATTTAGGGCATCTGGTAGAAGAAATCTCTAAGCAGCAAAGTGTTCAAGAGGTGACTTGGGTACTGTTAAAAGTATTTGGTTTTATGTATTCACAAATATATGGTTTGGAATTGGAACTTATGTTTAAAGGGGAAGTAGAGCATAAGAGTTCAGAAAATTTGCAGCCTGATGATGTGATAGAAAAGAAAACCCACTTTCTGAGGAGAAATTCAAGCTGGCTGCAGAAATTTTTATAAGTAACAAGGAGCCAAATGTTAATAACGAGACTACAGGGAAAATGTCTCCACGGATTGACCTGGATGTGACATGGACTCAAAGGAGATAATTTTCAAACTTTAAGATTTGACTGCCCCACTGGATTTTGGACTTGCATAGGCCCTGTAGGCCCTTTGTTTTGGCCTATTTCTCCCATTTGGAATGGGTGTATTTACCCAAATGTTTGTACCCCCATTGTATCTAGGAAGTAACAAACTTGCTTTTGGTTTTACAGGCTCACAGGCAGAAGGGACTTGCGTTGTCTCAGATGAGACTTTGGAATCTTTCAGAACTGTGAGTGATCTATTTCTGTTGTTTATAAATTGTCCAGTCTAAGGTATTTTGTGATAGCAGCCCGAACAGACTAAGACACCACTCTCAGTGTAAACTCAGCACTGGCATGTCATTCTGTTGCTTTTTTCTGCTAAGCTCATGCCTCCATTCATCACATGGACTCTCACATCTTTTCATTTCTCAAACTCCCACTGAAGACCTTGCCTCAAATTCATTGAGAAAACAAATTAACAAAGGGGAAATTCATCAGACTTTCCTCACAAACTTCCATATCTATTTTCTCCTTTCCAGAAACAATGAAAGTTTGTTTCTCTTTTACTCAAAGATTTATTTTTCCATGTGTGCCATAGCCCTTTTCTTCTATCCTCATCAAAAACTACCCTTTTACCATTTCCTCTCTTTTCTGTATCATCATTTTTCCCCTTCTCATTTGGTTCATTTTCATATAAACACAATTGACTGTCTCCCATTTTAAATAAACTCTTCCTGGACCCCACATGCTGCATTAGCTGTAAGCCATTTCCCTTTGCTTTTCATAGCCAAAGTTTTTCAAAGCGTTGTCTATAATTTTTCTCTCTAATTTATAATCTTTCATTTATTACTTTTAAAAATTACCAGCTAAAAAATAGAAACTAACATTTACTTATTGAGAGGCTACAGTGTACCAGGCACTGTTGTAGTGTTTTACATGTATTAGTTTGTCTAATTCACCCCAATTGGGTAGGAAATATTATTGACTAAATTTTACAAATGAGGAAATTGGGAAGCAGAGAGTAGCAAGATCAAGATTTGAACCCAGTCAGTCCAGCCCCAGAGGCTGTGCTCTTAATAATGAAACTACTGCCTTAGTAGAACATTATGTACGCTTCTCCACAGCTCCAAACATTTCCTCCATTTTCAGAGCCAGTGTTATCATTATTTTAGTGCATGTCCTTCCAATAATGTTTTGACATTTTAAGGCATATATATATATATGTGTGTGTGTGTGTGTGTGTGTGTGTGTGTGTGTGTATATATATATATATACATATATATATACACACACACACACACATATGTAAATGTATATATATAGAATATATATATTCTACCACAAAATTAAAGTAAAAATAAAGTTTTTAAATGTGTTTTCATAGTAACATAAATATCCATAGACTTACCATGTAATTCGGCCTCATTCGCTTAACATCATATTTTGGAGATCTACTTACACTGACATATAGTTTTACTTAATTTATTTTAGCTCCTCTGTGGTATTCAATTATACTTATATACCATAATTTATTCATTTAGTCTACCATTTTTGGACTTTTAAGTTGCTTGCAGTTTTTATGGCATCACAAAGAAACAGCAGTAAACATGTTTTGAACTATTTATTTCAACTTTAATAACATGGTATCAGGAATTTTTTACTTACAATGAATTCTTTAGAATTTGCTAAAACGTCTTTTGATTTTTTAATTAACCTGTGTGTCAATTTGTGAACACATCAAGTATACCTGAAAAGAATGTGTATTTAATAGCTGTGGATAAAGGATTCTTTCTTTTTCCCTTTGCTGTTTTGGAAGTTATATATTCTATTTTTATTTTTATACAGGTTGTCCTTATAATGTATGTTTACTCTTAAATTTACAATATTTAAAATTAATTGGCATCTCCGTTTAGTTTTGGAATGACTTAAGGGAGTCTTAGAAAGTTTTGAACTTCAGTTTTCAGCCTCCAGGCTAATATTTCATGTGATTTTTGTCTATTATGTGCAATTTTATTTTTTATACCTTTCTCAAATTAGTCAATTATAATTAATTATAAATAATTTAGTGTTTATTTACATTTACCCACAGGTTTATAAAGGTTTTGCTGACTATTGCTTCTCATTCTCTTATCCTTCTTTCTGTTTTTAATTTTATTTTTGCTGAAGTGTATCCTTTAGTAGTTCTTTTAGGGAGGGTCTGTAAGTGTAAATGCTCTTAGTCTCCGGTACTCTGAAAATTTTTTAATTTTTCACAGGAATTCCTTTGCCCTAGTTTAGAGAAAAATGAAATTCAAGGTTGAGTTATATCTTATGAGTACTTTTTAAATTTGTTTTTTAAATTGGCACAAAAAATGATATATATTTATTATATACAACATGTTTCGAACGATGTATACATTGTGGAATGGCTAAATTGAGCTAATTAACCTATGCATTACTTCACATACTTATTATTTGTGGTAAGAACACTTAAAATTTACTCTCAGAAGTTTTCAAGAATACAATGAATTACTATTAACTATAGTTACCATGTTGTACAGTAGATCTACTGAAATCATTCCTCCAGTCTAAATGGAAGTTTGTATCCTTTGACTAATATTTTCTCGACAACCACTCCCAGCCCCTTGTAACCACTATTCTACTCTTTATTTCTATGAGTTCAATGTTTTTAGATTCTTTATATAAGTGAGGTCATGTAGTATTTGCCTTTCCGTGCCTGGCTTATTCTACTTCACATAATTTTCTCCAGGTTCATTCATGTTGCCACAAATGACAGGATTTCCTTCTTTGTAAAGTCTGAATAATATTTGATTGTGTATATATACCACATTTTATTTATTCATTCATCTTTTGATGAATACGTAGATTCGTTTTATATCTTGGCTATTGTGAATGGTGCTGCAATGAACACTGGAGTGCAGATATCTCTTTGACATCATGATTTCGTTTCCTTTGGATATTTCTTTGGATATATACACAATAGTGGGATGACTGGCTCACATCTATTTATGTTTTTTTGAGGAATCACCATAGTGTTTTTCATACTGGTTGTACTAATTTACATTCTTACCAACAGTGTACAAGAATTCCCTTTTCCATACTTTCTTGTCAACACTTATTATCTTCTGTCTTTTTGCTAATAGCTATTCTAACAGATGTGAAGGGATATCTCATTGTGGTTTTAATTTGCATTTCTCTGATGATTAGTGTATTAGTTCATTTTCACACTGCTATAAACACCTAAGACTGGGTAATTTGTGAAGAAAAGAGGTTTAGTTGACTCATAGTTACCTAGGTTTAACAGGAATAATGACTGGAAGGCCTTAGGAAACTTAAAGTCATGGCAGAAGGCAAAGGGAAAGCAAGGATCTTCTTCACATGGTAAGAGGGGAGAAAGTGAGCAAAGGGAGAAGTGCTACATGCTCTCAAAACTGTTAGGTTTTGTGACAGCTCACTCACTATGACCAGAAGAGCGTGGGGGAAATCTGCAACTATGATCCAATCACTTCCCACCAGACACCTCCTCTAACAGATTGGCATTACAATTCGAGATGACATATGGGTGGAGACACAGAGCCAAACCGTATCAATTAGTGACGCTGAACATTTTTTTCGTATGCCTGTTGGCTCCCGTGAGTACTTGTAAGCTATTATCTTATTGTTTCCTGATTTTTGATATTGCAGATCCTGAGTCTAATTATCATTTTATTATAAGTAATGTTTTTTCTCTGGAATACTTTTAAGGTCTCTTAATTACTGCAGTGCCAGAAAGAAAATTTTAACATGGGTTTGTTTTTCTATTTATCCTATTTGGAACTCAGCATCTTCCTTCAGTTTTCTTTGAATATTATATTTTCTCCATACCCTCTATCGTTTTTGGAATTCTGATTAGATGTATGTTGGACCTACTTATTCTTGATTTCTTCTCTCAATTTTTCTCTCATAATTTCCATCTCTGTTTCTTCCTTCAGAGTTATTTAATCAGGTTTCTTTCATGTCACTATTGTTTCTTTAGTTATGCCAATTCATTTAGCTCTTTACATGTTTGTCCCATCCCTGAGGTCTTAATTTAGTGGCTATATTTTTCAGTTCCAAAATGGTAGTACATCATGCCTGTGTCCAGAATCCTGTTGCCTTCTCTGTTTGCCTACTCCCTCTCTAGGTGGTCTTGTTGATTTCCAGTGGTTAATGACTTAGTTTTATATCTCTGGCCTAGAACGTTCTCCTAAGTTCCTGACTTACATAGATACCCAACTGCTTATGTGACTTATATTTTAAATAGACACCTCAACCTTAAAATATACAAAATGAAACTATTTATTTCTCTTGGAAGACTTCCCCCCTGATTCCTCCTTCTCTCAGTAAGCGATGCTACTACTTCTCTGAAAGATCAAGTCAGAGTCTGAGACTTGATCCTGAATTCCTTTTACTCCCTTTCTGCCTACAACTACCTCTTCTGCCAGCTTTAATGCTTTTAGCTTCTACTTTCTCTCTCTGCTCCCACAAAACCATTTTCATCTCTTATCTGGGAGACTGCATTTGGCTCATAACTGGCCTCCTTGTGTCCACTCTCGCCTCTTATAATCCATTCTCAGCACAGCCAATGGAGTAATCATCTAAAAATAGAAATTATATCACTAACATGCTTAAAATTCTTCAATGGCTTGTACTTGAACTACACTTGGTATACAATTCTTCTCCTTCAGAATTCTTTGGTCTTCAAGGTCCTGTGTGGTCTGACCCTTGCTCACTTCTTTTCTCATCTCTCTTCCCCTTGACCGTACGTTCCCGCCTTGTTTTAGCTGTTTCCCACATTCCCGCTGTGTTACCATGTCACTTGGTGCCCTCCTTGCCTGAAATACTTCTCTCTTATCTTTACATAGTGGATGTTTCTCAGCTGCCAAATCTTATTGTAAATGTTATGCCACAATGTTGCCTTCCTCAGCCATGGAATAGATTCCCTCTGAGATCTTGTCTATAACAAGTTTTTCTGTGTAAACAGACTACTTGTTTTCTTCACAGAAGCTCGCATTTAGTAGTTACTTATTTGTTAGTATCTTTTACCATAGATTTCAAGTCCCACAAAGGCAAAGCCATTATGTAATTTTTCTTACCACTACACATCCTGTATCTAGTGTTGTATCTGATAGCTTCAGATAAATTCATTTTTCTTTCATTCATACAAGTATTTATTTAGTGCCTATAGCCAGACTCTGGTAGATTTTAGAAATATAACTATGAGCAAAGACAGACATGGTTACTGCCCTTGCAGAGGTTGTAGTCTTGTGAGTAATACAAGCAATTACAAAGTAGTATAAGTGCTTTAACTGAGGAAGTATGGGGTGGGAGGGAACATATAACATGGAAACCTAAACCAGTCTTGATATTGTGGGGAGTGGGGTGCATCAGAGAAGACTTCCTGGAGGAAGTGACATTGCATCTGAGGCCTGATGAATCAATAGGAGTTTACCAGATAAAGTATAAAGAAAGGATTGTATTAATAGTGTGCACAAGCCTTTGGAGGTAGAGGAAATTGTGGTGTAACTGAGGAACATAAATTCAGCGTGGCTGGAGCATAAAGGTGAGCAATAGAGAGAGGTAAGTTTGCAGGGTTGTCAGTCAAGCACTAACTTAATACTATGTTAAGAAATAGAAAATATTTCTAAGAAAAATAAGAAACACTAAAGAGTTTGGGGGAGGATCCAAGATGGCTAAATAAGAACAGCTTCTGAGTGCAGTTCCCAGCAAGAACAACGCAGAGGGTGAGGGCCTATTGCATTTTCAAACAAATTTTCACAGTCCACAGACCAGGAGATTCCCAGGCTGAAAAGTGCCATGAGTTTTCAGCATGGCAGTTTCAGCTGGTGTCAGGTTGGCACACGGAAACTCACACAAATCTGGGTGGTCATTTGAACTGGCACCTGGAACACCTGGGAGACAGAGCCACCTATTCAACTGAAAGGGAAGGGGCAGAGACAGGGAGCCAGGCTATCTGGCTGGGCAGAAACCACCCCCACAGAACAAGCAATCTGAAACGTTCCGGATTGAGAGTTTCCCAGGAAGTGCAGCTGAACCCAGGATGGTCCAGCTCAGTGGGGGGAAGGGTGACCACCACTACAGAGGTAGCCTGCCACTACCGAGGCAGTTCACGCAGCTGCTGGGCAGAGCCTGCGGCAGCTCAGCAACACCTCTGCTGGCAGACTGTGACTAGACTACTCCGTGCAGGGCAAGGCATTTATGAAAAAAGGCAGCAGCATCAAAGGAACTTATAAATAAAGCCAACCTTCCTAGGCCAGAGCACCTGGGAAAAGAGGCGGTTATGAGTTCTGCTGCAGTAGACTTAAAAGTACCTGCCCAGCATATCTGCATGGAACAGTGGAGCTCCCGGCACAGCACTTGAGCTGCTATAAGGGACAGACTGTCTCCTCAAGCAGTTCCCCGACACCCATGTACTCAAAGAGACACTTCATAAAGGAGAGCTAAGGCTGACATCTGGCAGGTACCCTTCTGGGACAAAGATAACAGAAGAAGAAACTAGCAGCAACCCTTACTCTTCTGCAGCCCCTAGTGGTGATCCCCAGGCAAGCAGGGTCTGGAGTGGACCTCCAGCAGTCCTACAGTAGAGGGACCCAACTGTTAGAAGGAAAACTAAGAAACAGAAAGAAATAGCTTCAACATCAAGAAAAAGGACGTATACTCAGAGACCCCATCCAAAAGTCACCAACTACAAAGACCACAGGTAGATAAAGCCACTAAGATGGGAAGAAACGAGCACAAAAAGGATGAAAACACCAAAAACCAGAATGCCTCTCCTCTTTCAAAGGATCACAACTCCTCACCAGCTAGGGATCGAAGATGGGTGGAGAATGAATCTGATGAATCGACAGAAACAGGCTTCAGAAGGTGGATAATAACAAACCTCAGAGCTAAAAGAACATGTGCTAACCCAATGCAAAGAAACTAAGAACCTAGAAAAAAGGTTAGATGAGATGCTAACTAGAATAAACAGCTTAGAGAAGAATATAAACGACTTGATGGAGCTGACAACACAGCACGAGAACTTCGCAAAGCATACTCAAGCTTCAATAGCTGAATTGACCAAGCAAAAGAAAGGATATCAGAGATTGAAGACCAAATCAATGAAATAAAATGAAAAGGCAAGAATAGGGAAAAAAGAATGAAAAGAAATCAACAAAGCCTCCAAGAAATATGGGATTATGTGAAAAGACCTAATCTATGTTTGATAGGTGTAACTGAATGTGACAGAGAGAATGAATCCAAGCTGGAAAACACTGTTCAGGATATTATCCAGGAGAACTTCCCCAACATAGCAGGCCAGGCCACATTTCAATTCCAGGAAATAAAGAGAACACCACAAAGATATTCCTCAAGAAGAGCAACCCCAAGGCACATAATTGTCAGATTCATCAGGGTTGAAATGAAGGAAAAAAATGCTAAGTGTAGCCAGAGAGAGAGGTTGGGTTATCCACAAAGGGAAGCCCATCAGACTTACAGTGGATCTCTCTGCAGAAACCCCTTAAGCCAGAAGAGAGTGGAGGCCAATATTCAACATCCTTAAAGAAAAACACTTTCAACCTAGAATTTAATATCCAGCCAAACTAAGCTTCATAAGAGAAGGAAAAAGAAAATCCTTCATGGACAAGCAATTGCTGAGAGATTTTGTCAACACCAGGCCTGCCTTACAAGAGCTCCTGAAAGAAGCCCTAAACAAGGAAAGGAACAATCAGTACCAGCCACTCCAAAAACGTACCAAATTGTAAAGACCATTGACACAATGAAGAAAATGTGTCAACTAAGGGGCAAAACATCCAGCTAGCATCAAAATGGCACAATCAAATTCACACATAACAATATTAACCTAAAATGTAAATAGGCTAAATGCCCCAATCAAAAGACACAGACTGGTAAATTGGATAAAAAGTCAAAACCCATTGGTGTGCTGTATTCAGGAAACCCATCTCACATGCAAGGACACACATAGGCTCAAAATAAAGGGATGGAGGAAGATTTATCAAAGAAATGGAGAGCAAAAAAAAGCAGGAGTTGCAATCCTAGTCTCTGGTAAAATGGACTTTAAACCAGCAAAGATCAAAAGAGAAAAGAAGGGCATTACATAATAGTAAAAGGATCAATGCATCAAGAAGAGCTAACAATCCTAAATATATACGCACCCAATACAGGAGCACCCAGGTACATAAAGCAAGCTCTTAAACAGCTACAAAGAGACTCCCACACAATAATAGTGGGAGACTTTAACACTCCACTGTCAATATTAGACAGATCAATGAGACAGAAAATTAACAAGCATATCTAGGACTTGAACTCAGATTTGGATCAAGTGGACCTAATAGACTTCTACAGAACTCTCCACCCCAAATCCACAGAATATACATTCTTCTCAGCACCACATTGTACCTACTCTAAAATTGACCACATAATTGGAAGTAAATCACTCCTCAGCAAATGCAAAAGAATGGAAATCATAACAAACAGTCTGTCAGACCACAGGGCAATCAAATTAGAACTCAGAATTAAGAAACTAACTCAGAACCACACAGCATCATGGAAACTGAACAATTGGCCCCTGAATGTTGACTGGATAAACAATGAAATGAAGGCAGAAATAAAGATGTTCTTTGAAACCAACGAGAATGAAGACACCAGGTACCAGAATCTCTGGGACACATTTAAAGCAGTGTCTAGAGGGAAAGTTATAGCAATAAAAGCCCACATGAGAAGCGAGGAAAGATCTAAAATTGACACCCTATCATCAAAATTGAAAGAGCTCGAAGAGTAACATAAAAAAATCTCAAGAGCTAGCAGAAGACAAGAAATAAGTTAGATCAGAGCAAAACTGAAGGAGTCAGAGACACAAAGAACCCTTCAAAAAATCATTAAGTCCAGGAGCTGGTTTTTTGAAAAGATCAACAAAATAGACAAACTGCTAGCCAGATTAATAAAAAAGAAAATGGAGAAGAATCAAATAGATGCATTAAAAAGGATAAAGGGGATATCACCACTGATTCCACAGAAATACAAACTACAATCAGAGATTACTACAAACAACACTATGCACATAAACCAGTAAATCTGGAAGAAATGGATAAATTTCTGGACACTTGCACCCTTCCAAGCCTAAACCAGGAAGAAATTGACATCTTGAATAGACCAATAACAAGGGCTGAAGTTGAGGCAGAATTAAAACTTACCAACCAAAAAATGTCCAGGTCCAGACAGGTTTACAGCTGAATTCTACCAGACATACCAAGAGAAGCTGGTACCACTCCCTCTGAAACTATTCAAAGCAATACAAAAAAAGGGAATCCTTCCCAAATCATTTTATGAGACCAAAATCATCCTGATACCAAAACCTAGCAGAGACTCAACAAAAAAACAAAACTTCAGGTCAATATCCATGATGAACATAGATGCAAAAATCTTCAATAAAATACTGGCAAACCGATTGCAACAGCACATCAAGTAAGCTTCATTCTGGGGATGCAAGGCTGGTTCAACATACACAAGTTTATAAATGTAATCCACCATATAAACAGAACCAAGGCAAAAACTACATGATTATCTCAATAGATGCATAGAAGGCCTTTGAAAAAATTCAACAGCCCTTTATGCTAAAAACTCTTAATAAACTAGGCATTGAAGAAGCATATCTCTAAACAATAAAAACTGCTTACAACAAACCAACAGCCAATATCATACTGAATGGGCAAAAACTGAAAGCATTCCCTTTGAAATCCAGCACTAGACAAGCATGCCCTTTCTCACCACTCCTATTCAATACAGTATCGGAAGTTCTAGCCAGAGCAATTAGGCAAGAAAAAAAAAGTAATGGGTATTCAATGAGGAAAAGAGGAAGTCAAATTGTCTCTGTTTGCAGATGACATGATTGTATATTTAGAAGACCCTATCATCTCAGCCCAAAATATCCTTAAACTGATAAGCAACTTCAGCAAAGTCTCAGGATACAAAATCAGTGTGCAGAAATCACAAGCATTTCTATACACCAATAACAGACTAACAGAGAGCCAAAGCATGAGCAAACTCCCATTCACAATTGCTACAAAGAGAATAAAATACCTAGGAATACAACTAACAAAGGATGTAAAGGACCTCTTCAAGGAGAACGACAAACCACTGCTCAACGAAACAAGAGAGGACACAAACAGATGGAGAAACATTCCATGCTCATGGTTAGGAAGAATCAATACAGCTAGCGCTTGACTTATGACCACGATTGGTTCCGATAGACTGGTCGTAACATGATTTGGTCGTAAGTTGAGTAGGCTATATGTACAGTACTGTGAAATGATGTTATAAAAATCTTTAAGTCATATTTTATCATAAGTTTCTTTCATTATTGTTATATATCATAATTTTCTTTGTTCATTTTATGCCATTTGTATCATCTCTACACCATTTTGTTTCTTATTTTTACATTCGTCAGGTTTAAGTAAAACACTGCATTACCAGTACAACCGGTTTAATATTTGCAAAACATACAAAATTACAAAATACAGGTGCATACAAAAATATAAAATACAGGTGTAAAAAATACCATAGGAAACATTTTCCCAATTGCAAAACATATCAAAATATATAAACGTGTACAAAACATTTTACTGGCCATTTTTGAATTTGATCTTCCATCCCAATATATAGCAATTTCTCCATTTCGTGGATGGGCCCACTTTGTTGCTTTGTTATAACTGTTGATCCCATGGGTGCAGAACCTTTCACAGCTTCACGAATTCTTTATCTTTCAAAATCGTCGACACAGTCAAGTGTGACAACTTCGTATCACGTGCGATCACATTCACTTTCTTTCCTCCTTTGTACTGCTTAATTACCTTCATTTTCATGTCGAGATCGATGGCCTTTCTTTCCTTCTTGGCAGGCTGAGGCGTAGACAAAGACAATTTCCTCTTGGTAGACATCTTGGGAGGGGTTTGATGAAAAATACCCAAGATACAAAACACAAATTGCTGCACCGAGTCTGGGATAACAGTTGAAATGGTGCATGCAGAGATGGTAGTGCTGCCAGAAGCTGGTCCACACTGTCGTACGCCCAGCTGGGCAACGTTTGAGCTGCCAGACGCAGAGCAGGCGTGGCTAGCCATTGTGGTCGTAAAGTCGAATGGTTGTAAGTTGCATAGATTGTAAGTCAATCAATACCTGTATTGTGAAAATGGCCATACTGCCCAGAGTAATTTATAGATTCAATGCTATCCCCAACAAGCTACCAATGACCTTCTTCACAGAACTGGAAAAAACTACCTTAAACTTCACATGGAGCCAAAAGAGAGCCTGCATAGCCAAGACAATCCTAAGCCAAAAGAACAAAGCTGGAGGCATCACACTACCTGATTTCAAACTATACTACAAGGCTACAGTAATCAAAACAGTATTGTACTGGTACAAAAACAGAGATATAGACCAACGGAACAGAACAGAGGCCCTGGGGCAAAGCCACACATCTACAACCATCTGACATTTGACAAAGCTAACAAAAACAAGCAATGGGGAAAGGATTCCCTGTTTAATAAATGGTGGGAAAACTGGCTAGCAGTGTGCAGAAAGCAGAAACTGAACCCCTTCCTGACACCTTACACTAAAATTAACTCCAGATGGGTTAAAGACTTACACATAAGACCTAACACCATAAAAACATTAGAAGAAAACCTAGGCAAAACCATTCAGGACATAGGCATAGGCAAAACACCAAAATCATTGGTGACAAAAGCCAAAATAGAACTAATTCAAACATTGTGAAAGACAATATGACACTTCTTCAAGGACTTAGAAATAGAAATTCCTTTTGACCCAGCAGTCCCATTACTGGGTATATATCCAAAGGATTATAAATCGTTCTACTATAATGACATATACACATGTATGTTCGTAGCAGCACTGTTTACAATAGCAAAGATCTGGAACCAACCCAAATGCCCATTGATGATAGACTGGACAAGGAAAATGTGGCACATATACACCATGGAATACTATGCAGCCATAAAAAATGATGAGTTTGTGTCCTTTTTAAGGACATGGCTGAATCTGGAAACCATAATTCTCAGCAAACTGACACAAGAACAGAAAATCAATCACTGCATGTTCTCACTCATACGTGGGTGTTGAACAATGAGAATACATGGACACAGGGAGGGGAGCATCACACACTGGGGTCTGTTGGGGGTGGCCAAGGGAGGGACAACAGGAAGGGTGGGGAGGTTAGGGAGGGATAACGTGTGGAGAAATGCCAGATGTTGGTGATGGGGGGATGGAGGCAGCAAACCACATTGCCATGTGTGTACCTATGCAACAATTCCGCATGATCTGCACATGTACCCCAGAACCTAAAGTACAATAATAATTTTAAAAGCAGCGTTAAAGAGTTTTTCAGGAGGTGATGGATATGATTGTGTTTGCATTAAAAACTTCTGAGGATAAATTGGTTGGGGAGAGATGAGTTTTCTGCTCAGCAACAGGCAAGGTATCATGGCATGAACAATTGGGTGAACATTGTTCTCAGATGAATAGTAAAATTTTAAAAATGCTTATTTCATACTGTAGTTATTCACAGGTATTGTAATACAAGTAATAGATTCACTAAAATAAATTGAATTGTATAATTACATACTCTTTCACTGGGACTAAGAATGGAGGAAGGGGGAAGAATTATAGGGGAACAAATAGACATTTATAATTTATCAAAATAAGAATTCTGGCTTGTGGCTGTTGATTTCTCAGATTTCAAGTCACAGTTTAATGTTATCACTTCAGCATAATATATTTAAAGTTCGAAAAATGTAGATAACCAACATTGAATTGTAATAAAAGGTTTGTCTCTATTAACTAACATATACCAAGGCAAGGCACCTATGACTAGGAGCTTTCCTGTTACCCATCTGCACACTGGTTGTTGTCTCTGTCTCTGAGCCAGCCTGGCTGTCTTGCGGTGTGGCATGTGGAGACATCTGTGGTGGGGGAGGTGTTGTACCAGTTATCGTGAGAGATCTGGCTATAGGAGTGGGGGAGGGGAATGTTGATGGCCACAGCCACGTAGTAGAAAATTCCCAAGGAGTGATAGGTTTGAAAGGATGATCTTGATGAGCTGAAGTAGGCATAACAATTCCGTTATAACCTTGGAGTTACACAGTGCTTTATAGTTTGAAAACCTTTGTTTATCACTACTTATTTGAATGTCACAGTTACACTTTGATGTATAGGCTTATTCCCATTTCACTGGCAAGGAAAACAAGAGTCTCATTATGTAAACAACCTGCCCCAATCACACAGTTGTGAATGGTATAAATCAGTGTAAATCATATCTTATGAGTTTCTTCATTGTTTTTTGCAGAAGTTCATCTCTATCTTTTATTTAATTAGTGCTAGTAGTTTGTACTCAAATTAACCACAGGTTGTAAAATGATCTTGAAAAGAAAAACAGAAAATCACTTTACAAAGCATCATTGTGGGGTAATGACATAGTCTCTCAAGCTAATCATCCAAATAGAGGTATCAAAACATTTGATTTTTAATGGAAAATTTCCAAACCTGCACTTTATCCTTTTCTGGTTAATGTATTCTTTGATCTGTGGTAAGACAGTGCCCAGTGGATGGAAGGTACTCAGTATGTATTGACTTATCATCATAAACAACTGCTATTGTACGTGAAGCCCTTCTTGATACTTGCAAGCCTCTTTGCCTCTTTCCTGAATGACTCCAAGCTACTATGCATTTACTGGCTTAGTTATTTCTGTTTTTGCCGTTGTTGTTAGGCTGTTACCCTGTTGCAACTTTGCAATTATAACAATATCCCTCACTCCCCTGCTAACTTGCTATTTCTGATCTTCTGTGGTCTAGGAAACCAAATATTCAAGTTATTTGAACTCCACTGATTAATTTTATTTCTTCTATTTTTACTGTGATTGCTTTTCTAGTGCTTAAAGGGAGAGTTTAAATGGTTTGCATGAGTGTTAGGACAAGGTGATCCAGCAACAGACTTACTCAAATTGGATCCTGGTATACAGACTCCCTGGTGGATGCTTAATATGCTGGGTCTTGTTTCTCCTCAGGGGCTAAAGTTATGGGACCAGAACATGAGACAAACGTAACCCTAAATTATGTGCTGTCTATATATTTTAATCAGAAGCTTAAAATCCCTGCAGACTTTGCTTTTGCAAGTCACCGATTTTGAACTCTGTTGCTGTGTCTGATTGCTCATGTAATATTAAACCCTAGTTGAGCCTTAATTTCAAGAAATATGAACCAAACTCTGTAAACGCAGATTTCAAGAACTGCTGAACTATGGGAAGTCGTTTCTTTTCTTTTTTTTTTTTTGCAGTTACTGAAAAATGCAAATAATGAACGGTTTCTCAGAGACGTTTCTGAATTCAGCAGTCATTTTTAAAATGGACAGAAATTATTAATGGTTGGCATACTACACCACATGTTCCATTTTATTTAATGATATCTTCATTTGAATGTCTGATAGACATTTCAAACAAATGACAAAACAGACTCTTAATTTTACCCTCCCTCACCCTGACCTAGTTTCCCCAAACTTTATATTTCAGTAGAATCATGACCAGCCACCAGTTACTCCTGCCCGAAACTTAGAAGTCCTTTTAAATTTCTTCCTTTCCCTCTCCTCCTGTAAGCAACCCATCAGCAAATCTTATTATGTCAATCTCAAAAAAGAAAAGAAAAATTATAGTCTTTTTCTTTCCAGTTCTTCTCCCACAGCCTTGGAGGAAGTCATCTCCCTGGCGACAGTGGCCCTCTCTTGAACTATTCTCCCGCTCTAGAGTATATGCGTGTAACTCCTACAGAAGGTGATATATTAAACTTTTCTGAGGGTATGCTGGTTGGGGAGAGATCAATGAGTTTTTTTCTGCTGAGCAATTGAGTAGGAGATCATGGGATGAACAATTGGGTAAATGTTGTCCTGGCTCCTCTCTGCTTCTCATTGCACTTAGACTAAAATACGAATTCTTTACCATCCCTGTTGGCCTTGGCAACATGGAGCTCATTAGAAGCTCCTGTGAGAAGTTTTAGTGGCATTGTGCATGTGTGTGGCAGAATGCCGAGGGTGGAGGAGGTAATAGCAATTAGATGTTGTGGCTAACAAGTCATTACTTTCAGGAAGCCTGGTATGAAAGGGAGGAGAGAGGTAGAAGGCAACAAGAGAGGTTGTAGGGGTTAAGGCGGTGGGTTGTTTTTTTGTCTTTTCTTGAGAATGAAAAGATGTAAGCAGGCTCAAGTGGGGAAGGAAACAGAATAGGAAAATTTCACCCATGAAGACAAGGAGATGACGGAGTAATGTCACTGAGGGGACAAGAAGTGTTAAGTGGTTTAGTCTTAGACTGCAATAGCCATCTCGTTATATAACAAATTACCTGAAAATTGAGCATTTTAAAACAATATTTATTATCTCACACAATTTCTGGAGAGCAGGAATCTGGGAGGTGCTTACTTGAGCTGTTCTGGCTCAGGAGCTCTTGGGAGGTTGCAGTCAGGCTGTTGGCTGAATTATGATCTCTGAAAACTGGACTGGAGCCAAAGCATCTGCTTCCAAGATATTGGCAAGAAGGTTTGGTTCCTCACCCCATGGGCTTCCCCTTAGGGCTGGGCTGCTTATGAGACGGTTTCACCTAGATCATGTGACCCATGACCTAAAAGACAATGAGAGAGCAAAAGCCCAAGGTGAAAGCAGTGGTGTCTTTATAATCCAGCCACAGAGTAGCATGCCATCACTTCTGTCGTGTTCTGTTGTTCACTCAGATTAACTTTGCTACAAAATGTGGGAAGAGACTATAGAGCATGAATCCCAGGAGACAGGGATCACTGAGGTTCATCTCAGAGACTGCCCACCCCAGAACTCAAAAAGAGTATCTTTGCTTTGTATAAAAAGAACGTGACAAAAAAGGGGAGAAGGCTGAGAGAGAGGCTGACCAGTGGCCCCAGTTTTCTCAGTGAAGTGGATGGTAAAGTGACGTCCTGAGAGCGAGAAGGAGAGGTGGACTGGGGAGGGAGAGTGAGTTTTGGAGTCTCCATTCAGGAGAATGGGAAAGGAGGGCCTTTTATGTGTAGAATGGTCAGGTAGAATGGAGGGCTCAGCTGAGGTGGGAAATCGAAAATGTGCACCAGAAGCACCAGTGTGCCTCATTGTGTGAGCTTTCTCTCTCAGATGTAATGAAGTAGAAACGGAGATACTGGCTGATTGGTGTGATCTGGGCTAGTGCTTTTGTTAAAAGGATGGGGGTCAGGCAAAAAGAGCCAGGATAGTGCTAAAAAATATTGGGGAATGATAGAGTTAATGTATTGTGGAGCTGGAAGGGCTTGAAACCCAAGGAAGCTGAAAGATGGTGAGAAAAAGGACAGGTGGAAGAACTTTCGGTTTTGATACAGTTGAAGTGAAGGTTTGAAATTAGAGGAGAGAAAAAGGGCTGGGAGGCAGGAGGTGGTGATTTTGGAGTCAACACATTCCATATAATGGGTACAGGAAAATGTGTTTAAAGTAAACTAGGTTTATAAAAACTAAAATCTGTGTCTCCCATACAAAATGGAATTACTCAATTATTTATTATGTGTCCACAGATGCGTGAGGTTCCATGGGCAATAAAATCAGTAAAAGTACACTTTCTTCCATTAAAGCCTCTACTATGATTTTTTGATTTACTAAAAGATTTTTTCACTTTTCACAGAAATCCATCATACATTTTAAAAAATAATAAACGTTTTCCTATATGGGCATATGATGATGACATTTGACACATACAGATGGGTCTTGTACACCAATTTTAAAAAGGTATTACATGTGGATTTTTTTTCTCAGCGTTCCCAGTTTAGAAAATATTTCAGGAAATTACCTTCTTATAATAATAAATGTTTAGCCACTGTACAGAACAGGGGTGGTTCTCAAAGTGCGTTCCCTGGCAAGCCATATA